TCCAAACATAACAAAATGGTGGAGGCCAGGATCTTGGACAGAGCAGATATCCATAAATTCCTTCCTGTTCTGGTCTCTTTTCCCATCTTACAAATCCACCAGAACTCAGTTATAGGGGCCTTGTCCTAATGACCTCATCATACCCAAAGGCCCCACCCTGAAACACCATGGAAAGATTATTATTACTTAACACCTTTACAGTAGCCTTTACAGTAGAGCCAAGTCCCAACACTTGAGTTTTAAAACTCTACAATTCCAAAAAGGTCCTCAGATGATTATTTTTTTAGAGAACAGATAATATTTATTGAACTTCTAATATGTACCAGGCATTGTTACCTTTATTAACTAATGTAATCTTCATGACAACTTTGTTATAAGGTACTATTATGGTTATAAGGTACAATTATTTTTTATTTTATTTATTTTATTTATTTTGCATTTATTCACTGAACACCATCGCAGCATACAAAACACAATTTCCCATCCAGAATACACTGATCATATATATGATTGTCAACAAATAATTTTCCATTTCTTGTTTCATATATCTGTATGTGTATATATGTGTGTGTGTGTGTATATATATATATATATTTTTTTTTTTATTCTCTATTTCTCACCCTCTGCCATTTCCCACCCTCCTCCTACATTGTTTCTGGTATCTACAGTTGTATTCTATTCGTTTTCCCCCCACATTGTTGTTGATTATCAAAATATCTTAATCTAAATACTTTTAATCGAAGGTTAAGCTGATACATACACATCTGTGAACACATGTCTGATTTTAGGCATGAAACTCTGAGTAGAATGAATATACTATAAAGTAGCACCTAGCTGAGGCTTACTGTGGTCCTTAAATAGGTATCACTATTGTTATTATTTTTAAATATATATATTATATATTTCAATTTCAAGAAAAGCAGTTATAGCTTTAATAAACCAAAGTCAAAAAATGTTATGAGTGGGACCAGCAGTCGGTGTAATGGCTATGTTGCTGGACTCCCACGTAGTCGACCGCAATTCAAGTCCCAGACCCGGTGGCTCAAACTCACGCCAGGTGCGTGTGCGTGCATGCCCAAGATCCCAAGAGGAGAATGGAGGAGAAGGGATTGCGACGTGGCCATCCCCCTTGGGGGTGATTTCTTGCTTTCTGTCTCTCTGTCTCTGTCTGTCTTGCAAGCGCACGCGCCCTATAGCAAAAAAAAAAAAAAAAAAGAAGACGCTATTGTACTCTCCCAAAGCGAAAAGACATGACAACAAATAACACTTTCAGGGCATGGGAGCTCCTGCCCCTGGTTGCCCTTGCGAGCTGCCTGCAGAGAACACAATGCTGAGGACAGTCCTGTGGCTTTGTGGTGTCAGTGATTCTGTTTCCAGGGACCGTTAAATATGGAATCTGGCAGGAGCTTTGTATTTATGTTCAGTGCTGTGGGAGCAAAACCCAAAACGAGTGAGAGAGTAACTCAGGACTTTCATGGTCAAAACAAACACCAGCAAAAAGGAATTACCAAGACCAAATAGTTGAAGGTCACCAGCCTCAAGTCCTGGTCACGCACTCACTTTTCATAATCGGAATTCCAGGAGCCAGTGTGGATGGCTTTAAGAGAAGGCAATATCTGTCTTTTTAAAGTTGTTTTTTCGGGGACCGGTAGGTGGTGTGGTAATTAAGGCACCGGACACCCACATGGTCAACCACAGTTCAAGTCCCAGACCCGGCAGCTTTCTTTCTCTCTCTCTCTCTGGTCAAATTGAAGAATAATGATAATATAAAATTAAATGAATAATTCCTTAAAAAAATTTTAATTGTTTTTCTCATCAGTTTTATTTTGGTTGGCAAGTGTATATATTTGAGTATCCACACGTGAAAAGGGAGACAGCTAGGGGCCACACAAGCTCTGAATCTACTAGCGAGCCTCTTACACATTCTCCAGGCATATTTGGAAAGGCCTGACCGAACAATGGCAGCCCAGCCCGTGCATCTCCTTAATGACAGACGAGCCCGGCCTCGACAACCCTGCCTACGTGTCCACGGCGGAGGACGGTCCACCAGCAAACAGCCCGTCCGACTCCAGCCGGAGCAACCGACCAAGGAGTGAGTCAAGTGGGTGGTTGTCGGGAATGGGCTCCTTGCCTTGAGATTGCCCTCTGTGGAATACTCACTATGGAAAGTTCTAGAAATGTTGTTTTAAGGGAAATCGTTCTGGTAGTTTTGGCAGCCACCTGATATCCAATTCTCCAAAGTGAAATGAAACCACGAGTACCTCAGATCATTAAAACCGTGTAATCTGACTTGGTGAAAGGAGTCAAAGTTAGACCTAATAATTCATCGCTCCTCCTGTGTCAATATTTTCCCCGCCATACTGCTTAAGAAAAGTGCTATTATATGCAGTTCAGCCCAGAAAAAAAAATTAAGCAAGTCATATATATTTTATTGTAGACAGTTTAGAAAATGCAGATTAGCAAATTCTAAAATCCTGCCACCTCGAGATGGAATGGTTATGTTTTATTGATGTATCTTGCCAGGCACGTACATAAAAGGTGATGTCAGAGAACGCATGGCTACTGACCCTCTCCTCTCCTTTTCTTCAGCACGACCCTTTGAGCGATCCTCAATCAGAAGCAGATCTTTTAAAAAAATAAACCGGGCTTTGAGTGTTCTTCGAAGGACCAAGAGTGGAAGTGCAGTTGCAAACCAAGCTGACCAGGGCAGGGAACACTCCGAAAATACCACAGTCCCTGAAGGTAAGTGAACTCCGGGCAAGAATGGACACAGGCTGGGCTTGCAGAGTGACTTTGGGGGTGATGGCCCCCTGACCACCACCAGCTTCGTGCCTCTTCTCTTCTCAAAGCTACACGGTATCGAAGGCGTATAACTTCGTTTCTGCTCTCTCTCCCTTACGAAAGGCTCCTTATTTCTCCTATATGCAAAGTTTCCTACTACTTGAATAAAAATTATTTGCATATTTATTGCAAAAAACATTTACAAAGAAAGAGTATATGCGAGGCATTGTCCTGTGCAGTTTCGTTTGCTCTAAGAATGATAAAAGCCCATGGCTGGCATGACAGGATCCATTCAGGACTAAAAGAAAGTAGAACACTAGGGAGAGTTAAGATACAAGTAAATGACAGTGACAGCCCTGGAGGAAGGGCAGCATTGCCGAATAGCATAATGTGATCCACCATTAAGAAGCAGTCTGTGGCCTAGATGGGTGGATGGATGTTTACTGTTAACAATGCACTGGAAAGTAGTGGAGACGAGGTTATGACCAGATTAGAGAGGGTCCTACATACCACTTAGGGGGTCTCTCCTTAATTTGGGAGCAGTGAACACAGCCAGAAGCTGTTGTGAAGCCTTGTTTGGGATTAGAGTCGTGTTCAGGAAGATGAAGACAGTGACGATGTTGCATGGACAGGAGGATTTGGAGTGGGAGGGACTGGCTCTCTTCACCCATACCCAGCAGCTCCAACTCTGGAGTGGACGAGGTGCTGAGACTCAGCTAGACAGGAATCGACATCGACATCAGATTTGCAAGGCAGCAGAGCTTTCAAAAATGGTGGTAGAGCCTCGGGGCTGCAGCAACCTGCCATTAGCTTTGTCAACCCTTCTGCCATAGTCTG